TCAGCTCAACAAAGGACAACAGCGTGAACCAGGAATAAAACATTCAGCTGACCCGTTCTGAACCGGTGGACCTGCACGGATCCAAATTATCCAGGTGAGTTTAGATGGAAGCCTAGCAGAACTCCGATGCAGACTCCGGGTTTTTTTCAAGCAGCTCCTCCTCGGCGCTTCCCAGCATGAGAGGCTTCCTTCGGGCGAACAATGATGAGAACTGACCGAAGAAGGTAAAGCCGTCCTTGGCTCTGTTCTGTTCTGAGTCCTCATGACTCAGTGAGGCTACCTGTATAAAGAAAGGTTAAATAAAAATAAACAGACTGGTCCTAGGGGACCGGGCTGACAATGTCTCAAAAGACAGACTGGTCCTAGGGGACAGGCTAGATAAAGAGCTATTTGTGATACTTTCATGGACAGAAGACACAATGAATGGCAGATCAGAGTATGCAGCCTTCTTGAAGTCCTTAGTGGAACAGCAACAGTATGACCTGGAGGGGCGTGATTGGAAGGAAAGGCCTCTCTGATATGAACCCAAGTGGTGTTCTGTTGTTGGACTTCTGTGCTAGTCATAGTTTGTCCATCATGAATGCCATATTCCAACATAAGGGTGTCCATAAGTACACTTGGCACCAGGATTCCCTAGGTCCTAGATCGATGATTGACTTTGTAGTCATGTCATCTGATTTGCAGCCATTTGTTTTGGACACTCGGGTTAAGAGAGGAGCTGAGCTGTCAACAGATCACCACCTGGTAGTGAGTTGGATCAGATGGTGGGGGAAGATGCCAGACAGACCCAGTAGACCCAAACGTGTAGTGAGGGTTTGTTGGAAATGCCTGGCAGAAGAACTCATCAGAAAGATCTTCAACTCGCACCTCTGGGAGAGCTTTAACTGCATCCCAGCTGAGGGGGACATTGAGTCAGAGTGGGTCATGTTCTGCACCTCAATTGTTGAAGTGACTGCCTTGAGATGTAGCCACAAGGTTGTCAGTGCTTCTCACGGTGGCCATCCTCGAACTCTGTGGTGGACACCCCGAGTTAGGGAGGCTGTCAAGATGAAGAAGGAATCCTATTGGTCCTTGTTGGCTGGTAGAACTCCAGAGGCAGCTGAGGAGTATCAGAGGGCCAAGCGGTCCGCAGCCTTGGCTGTTGCTGAGACAAAAGTTCGGATGTGGGAGGAGTTCAGTGAGGCCTTAGATAAAGACTCTCGGTCGGCTCCAAGGAGAATCTGGCAAACCATCAGGCGCTGAGGAGGGGAAGCAGCTCTTTACTAACACTGTTCAGTGAAGGTGGGGTGCTGTTGACCCAATGATGTCGTCGGGAGGTGGAAGGAATACTTCTCGGACCTTCTCAATCCCACTGGCACATCTTCCATGGAGGAAGCTGAGTCGGGGGACTTTGGAGTTGGTCTGTCCATAACCGTGGCTGAGGTCGCCGAGGTAGTTAAAAAGTTCTGCAACGGCAGGGCTCTGGGGGTGGATGCAATGGTATATTCTACGTGATACGTGAGGCATACGGAGTCTACCCTCTAGAAAAGCGTAAGAATTTCAGTATACCCACTTACAAGTGCCTAATGACATATCATTAGGCACGTGTCATTGATACATTAAACAGCAGTTAAACACTTCAGTTACAATCCACCTGTATGCAGCGCTTGTTTATTACATTTGTTTATCCAGTGGCTTATTGTATAATTCTGTACTTACTACTTAATACTTGAAAATGTTTTGCTTTGATACCGTTTATAAATTCTAAAACATTTTTAATACAAAGCCAACTGTTGTACAAAGTTTGTTGTACATTTATAGGACGCTTGACAGAATCGGAGTTGCATTCACACACTGGCTTGTTAATTGTTGTTGCTCTCTAAAATAGTAATTTTAATTCAACCTTTATTTCTACAAGTTGTTAGTCTCAATGAGTCTCATAATTTACAAGAGAGACCTGTTTTTAATAAATTTAATCAAATGTTTACAGATGTTTAACAACCTGTTAAAATATACCAAAATTGCATCTCTTTTATTCCAAATTTTCTGGGGGAGGACCCACGGTCTGTTGTGGTGAAGAGAGCGCTGAGCTGTAAAGCAAAGCTCTCTGTTTACCGGTTGGTCTACGTTCCTGCCCTCACCTCTGGTCATGAACTCTGGGTAGTGACTGAAAGAATGAGATCGTGGATCCAGGAGGTTGAAATGAGTTTCCTCTGCAGGGTAGCTGGACTCTCCCTTAGAGACAGGGTGAGAAGTTCAGTTATCAGGAGAGACTCAGAGTAGAATCACTGCTCCTCCACATAGAGAGGAGCCAGCTGAGGTGGTTCGGGCATCTTGGACCTTACATCCGCTTTTGATACCATCGACCATGAGATCCTCATTTCTAGGCTGGAGCAGTGGGTGGGCATCACAGGGTCAGCCCTCAATTGGTTTAGATCCTACCTAGCTGACAGATCCTTTTGTGTCTCCATCAGAGATTTTAGTTCAGCATCGGCAGCATTTAAATGGGGGTGGGGTGGGGGTGGGGGTACCGCAGGGGTCCATCCTCGGTCCCCTTCTATTCTCTTTATACCTGCTGCCACTAGGTGCCATTTTCTGGAAACACAACATGCCCTTTCACTTCTACGCCGATGACTGTCAAATTTACTTCCCTCTAAGACACAATGGTACATGCTCTATTCAACCTCTGCTTGACTGCCTGGCTGACATCAGAGACTGGATGGTTTTAAACTTCTTAAGTTTCAACGAGAAGAAGTCTGAAGTCATGCTGTTCCCTCGCAATGACACAATCGTCAACCACTGCATTGACCTTTCTGCTCTAGCCCGGTTAGAGAAACAAGGAGTCACTAATCTGTGAGTGATAATGGACCCTTCCTTGAAACTTAACAGTCATGTGAACATGATTGTTAAATCATGTTTTTTTCCAGCTGAGGTGACTACGCTGAAGTCCATATTGTCCAAAAATAACTTGGAGACAGTAATACATTATATCTAGACTCTATTACGGCAACTTGTTCCTGATTGTCATGATCAGCGGCCCCCGCTGGCCCCCCATCTGCTCACTTCCCTGCCCCTTCATGACATGCCATGTTTCTGCCCTCTCCATGTGTTGTTTATCCCTCAGCTCCTGTCAATCTGCACTTCAAGTCTGCTCATGTCACTTCTCTGTCACCACGCCCCCTCAGCTGATTCACTGCCATCAACCCTCATGCATCTCACCTGTTCTCTCCACTACTTAAAACTCCATGCCTACACTCATTCGGCGCGAGATTATTAAACCTCTCATGGTCCCTGATTCTCAAGCCATTCATAGTTTCATGCCTGAACTTCAAACCTTGTGTTTTGGACTACGACCTCACGTCTGCCTCTTGGATTTTTCTCTCTGCTTGTCGCTCGTCTGGTTTTGCTCTGTCCTTCTGACCCTGGTACGACAACTTTTCTGGCCCTGTGACTCTGGATTTTGGATTACCCCTTGGATCTGTTTAAAGAACGCTGACTCCCCATGCTTGACCCCTGCCTTGCCTTCTGGACCCTCTCCCTGGCTGCAGCTGCAATTATAAATAAAGCTGTTTTCATTTTTTACTCCTGTGTCTTGTCATTCTGAATTCAAAAGCCTGGTTTCGTGACAGAATAATCTTGCGCCGAATGAGTGTAGGCATGGAGTTTAAGTAGTGGAGAGAACAGGTGAGATGCATGAAGGTTGAATGTGGTGAATCAGCTGAGGGGGCGTGGTGACAGAGACGTGACATGAGCAGACCTGAAGTGCAGATTGACAGGAGCTGGGGGATAAACAACACATGAAGGAGAGGAGCAGAAACATGGCATGTCATGAAGGGGCAGGGAAGTGAGCAGATGGGGGGTCAGCGGGGGCCGCTGATCATGACAGATTGGTATCAGTCAGATCTCCACTGCCAGACTGCAACTGGTCCAGAATGCTGCAGCCCGATTTTTAACCAGTCCAGGCAAAAGAGAGCACATTACTCCAGTCTTGGCCTCCCTGTACTGGGTACCTACCGGTTCACCTTTGAATCCAGTTTAAAATCCTTCTGAATGTTTTTTAATCACTGCACAGTTCTGCCCCCTCCTATCTCACTGATCTGCTGCAGCCATATGTCCCACCGTGTTCTCTGAGGTCAGCAGACCAGTTGCTTCTCTCAGTTCCAGTAACCTGTCTTAAGCATAGAGGTGACAGGGCCTTCTCTGTCACAGGCCCTAGACTCTGGAACGAGTTACCTCTGCTTGTCAGACTGGCCCCCTCCCTCACAGTTTTTAAATCCTGATTAAAAACCCACTACTATTCCCTGGCTTTCAACACTATGTTGATCCTGAATGCATCACACTGTGTTAGTCATTATGTTATTATCTGCTATTATTGTGTTTCTATATTTTGATTTTACATTATGTGTTGCTGTGTGCTCTGCCTGGTTGTTTCCATCTGTACAGCACTTTGGTTGGTCCTGTCGCTGTTTAAAGAGCTTGATAAATAAAATAGTATGGTCTGGCATCTGGTAAGGATGCCCTCTGGACGCCTCTCTAGGGAGGTGCTTCAGGCATGTCCGACTGGGAGGAGACCCTGTGGAAGTCCCAGGACACGCTGGAGAGACTACGTCTTTGGTTGTCCTGGGAACACCTTGGAGTCCTCCCAGAAGAGCTGGAAGAGGCTGTGGAGAGAGATGTCTGGACCTCCCTGCTCAAGCTGCTGCACCCGAGACCTGAGTCCAGAACAAGAGGAAGAGGATGGATTCATCCAATTTTCTGCTACTTTTAGCTATTAAATTTATTTGAATTATAGCTAGTCTTTTTCTTCTAGTTCAGGCTTTTTAAACTTTCTTCATTTCAGCTCTTCTGTGCTTCTTTCTGCTTTTCAGCTTTTGTATTTCAAATAAAACTTTGGCTTGTTCAGCAGCTTTCAGCAAACTCCTGGAGCAACAAACATTCACCGCATTTTTGCAAGAAACGCCATTTTTCTACTTAATGTCTTCCTGAAAGGCATTGTGGGAGTTGTAGTTTCTCTGTCCTACCTCCGGCTGAATGTCTGGAAACAACACGTCCCAGAAGCCACCAGGATGAGCAGCAGCAGCGGGATGGTCGGGATCACCACGTACAGCAGCAGCATGCCTGAGGACACACAGACAACGTGAGACAGAGTGATATCATCATCGCAGGTCAGAGGTCACACTCATAGGCGTTCTCACCTGAAGCTGCTGTCATGGCAACTTGTGGTGGGACGTCCTCGCTGCCTGCTGCCCGAGTGATCACAACGCCTCCTGCAGTCACTGCTGATGACGAATAGAATCTGTACAGGTTACTATGGTAACTGAAATACAGCTGCAGGTGTGCACTGCTCCCCTACTCACCAGTGCCCCGCCCTCCTGGTGTGTCTCTGTGTTCCTTCTCCAGGTGGCTCTCTGAAAACACCAAGCACACTGACCTGTCACCAGAGTCTGGAGCTGATTGGCTGACCTCACCTGACCTGTCACCAGAGCCTGGAGCTGATTGGCTGACCTCACCTGGCTCATACTTGCATATGAAGTTGTGCTTCATGTTGCAGCGGTCGTCGTTCCATTGGTAGAGATAAGCCCCGCCCAGACCAGGAAGAGCAGTCAGCTGGTGGTACATGACCACGCAGGCTTCGCTGCCGCAGGAGGGTTCGTCAACATACCAGTTCCTGCATCACCATCATCGCCATGGTTACAGGCAGAGCTTGCTTCAGGTGAATCAGGTGATGCAGTGATGACATGACACTCACCTGAAGGTGGCAACGCTGCCATCTGTCCATTGGTAAAGTTCTGAACAGGGAGTCATGGTGTTCTCGACTCCACCCACCCGAGTCAAGCCGATCCAGAAATCACCATCTGATATTCCCCCCCCTCTGGGTCCGCCCACTGCTCCTGAACGCAGAGCCTAGGGGAAAGAGGGAGGAGCTAAAACACATGGCTCAATGCCATTTTTTGTGTTGTGGAAAGTACAACTGTTCTGGTCTCATCTTGAAAATATCAGTGGGGGGGTCTCACTTCTAGCAGTTGTTCCACGTGAGTCTGCTCAGCTGGACTCTCGATGCTCAACAGCTCCCCTCCCTCCACCTCACAGGCCCGTCTGGCCTCACCGAATGCCACACGGCTCGACACGTCATGGAAGTAGGCGATTTTATAGCAGGGCCGCTCGGGACCGCCCTCACACACCTTAGAACCTGCAGACACAAAGCCCCGCCCACAGCCCTCACACACATTAGAACCTGCAGACACAAAGCCCAGCCCACAGCCCTCACACACATTAGAACCTGCAGACACAAAGCCCCGCCCACAGCCCTCACACACATTAGAACCTGCAGACACAAATCCCCGCCCACAGCCCTCACACACCTTAGAACCTGCAGACACAAAGCCCCACCCACAGCCTCACACACCTTAGAACCTGCAGACACAAAGCCCTGCCCACAGCCCTCACACACCTTAGAACCTGCAGACACAAAGCCCCGCCCACAGCCCTCACACACCTTAGAAGCTACAATCTAAGCAGATAAATCAGTCTTAAAACCTCACAGAAGCGAACAACGTTTTAAATCCACAAACTGTTCCAGATGTTCCAGATGTACTCATTTCTAATTAAAGTGGGAATATTCTGTGCACACAAGTTGTGCACAAAGCACCTGCTGCGCACGATCAGATGCCTGTCAGTGTGGCTTTTGACACTTTCTTACTGCTCCAAAGGTCATGCTGCGTTCAAGGCTGCTGAAAAGCTGGGACATGTGAGCGTCACCGAGTCATATTAGTGGGTTCTACAGCAGAACGTTCCTCCATGTTTTGTTTGAAATGTCTGAAAAACTCCATGCATTTTTACAACTAATCTATCTTCTAAAAATGTTGTCAGCCACTGGTCCATCCTTTTGGCCAGTGGCTGTTTTGTTTCCCCGATGTAAGACTGATCACCTCCTGACACTGAACAACATACACAATATTACTCTGTTTGTGCCGGGGCACTGGATCTTTGGGATGAACCAGTCTTGTTTGAGGCCTGTTTGAGTCAGGTTTGAGGAACGATGGTTTGAGAGAGGAGTAAAGGAGGCCATCTTTGTGAAAAGACACCGTCCATCATTAAACAGGGGTGGAGCCTCCAGGTTCAACTGTCCCCCTCTTACAATGCTGTGATTGCTAGTATCACTCAGCCCCCTGTGAACAGTAAACAGCCATCAGGTGCTAATGATCCATTGTTAGGCTGATGGTCCTTCTTGAGCATGTGATCAGCTGGTTCTGGTTGTCAGCAGCAAACTGGTTGATCCACTCTGAGAAGGTGCTATTTAAGAGACTGAGCTGAATACAGCACCTCAGACTGAGGAAGTCCTCAGGATGAAAGATGAAACGTTTCTTTTTTTTTTTTTTTTTGGAACGTCCAGAGGACCAAACTTAACTTCTTTAGATTTTTCTACGTGGATTATTGAGCAGCACCAGGATAATCTATCTTCATCAAGCCCCGCCCACAGAGCCATCAGTACGAGTGGAGCGGAGAGTCATCCAACGCTGAAGTGTGTGTGTGTGTGTGTGTGTGTGTTTCAGGGTACCTTGTAGGGACCAATTTTACAACAAATCCTACATTGTGGAGATCAAAGCCAGGTCCCCATAAGGAGAAGTCTCGTTGGGGGGTTAGGTGTGTGGATTGTGGACGGGTCAGTTATAGAAAATGAATGGAAGTCAATGCAAAGTCCCCAAAAAGTCCATTTACAAGAACATGTATATGATTGTGTGTGTGTGTGTGTGTGTGCGCGCGCGTGCATGTGTATGCGTGCGCACGTGTGTGTGTGTAAAGTGCCTCCTCAGAGCTTCTTTAAGTGATTATCTGGACTCTCTTGTGCACCATCATCAGTTTCTGTTAAAGCCCGTAAAGAAAAGCCTCATTTGTATCTCTCCACTTTGTCCCCCTCTGTCTGTCCCCCTAGCTGTGTGTCCACTCGTCCTCCTGTCTTTTTCTCTGTCCATCCGTCAGCAGCTGGGAGACGAGACTGAAACTTTAATAAAAACTAAACCTGAAGAACATCTGCTGTAGAACCTCAACCCACAGAACCAGAACCCTTTGTGTTATCAAACCAGTCCTGCTGGAACCATGTGGACTCAACTTAAAGACAGAGTTTCTGCAGAGTTTATTTGTAATTTTCACTCTGAAGCAGAAAACTCAAGAAGTTCCCACAGACCGTGAAGGTACCGTTGTGAACTTTGACCCTGTGATCAGGTCACAGGTCGGATGATTTGGACCTGCAGCTCAGACTTCAGAACCATCATTCAGAGTTTGAACAGGTCACAGGAAGTTGGGAACCTCGTTCACGTTCTGTCTGAGACTGACTTTTTACTCTGTCTCTCTGTCTGAAGAGCTGCTGTGTTGCTCCGCCCCTTTCTGCTGCATCATTTTATTTTGTTTAAAGAAACTAGTCTGAAGTTTCAAAATAAGAGTCTGGCAGTGATTCTTGGGTTTGAACACGTACGTCGTAAGTTTCTGATGAAGTCATGTTTATAAAATCCAAGATGGCGGCTGTCGTAGGCCTGATCACCAGGTGGCGGTGAAGGCGGAGCCTTTAACTTAACGAGTTTTTCTATTTCATGTAAGGAAGCAGCAGAAACCACAGAAAAAGACTTCCTGCCTGTTTAAACAGGAAGTAGAACTCACCGCTCATCACTCGCCCCGTGTTCCTCTCCACCATCACCATGACGACCGCCAGCATCAGCACCACCGCATGCTGAGCCATCGTCTGGATTCTGAGCTGCTTTTCACAATAAGAGCGTCCTCCCTGACTCAGAGCTGCTTTTCAGAATAAAAGTGTGGGGCATCCTCCTCTCATGGCGCCGCTCCTCACTCTGATGTGAAGCTTGAGGAGGAGGAAGCTTTCAGTGCGTCTCCTCCTCCCCCAGGATCGATCTGAGCTGCACCTCCTCCTCCATGGGGGGTGCCCCTCCCCCCCACAGCCTAATTCACTTAGAAAAGGCTGCAGCTGATTGGCTGCTGCAGGTCAGCTGATCAATAACTAAGCGCACATCACCGGGGGGCACGTGCACGCTCCTGCACAGATTGTACAGCAGTTAAACAGTCCATGTGCACACTCAAGTGCACGCTCTGAAAGGCTTCCTGCATCAATCCAGGAGCTGCAGGAGGAACGATTCATGATCAACACCAAGGGAGGGGCCACGTGCACGCTCATAGGCCACGTGCACACTCAGGGGACATGCCACCAGCGCAAAGTCCAGTCCCATCAGGACCTAGAAAGACCTGGTCTGTCTGTGAGCAGAAGCCATTTCTTCTCAGACTCTGAGAGAACCAGACCCCCTGCAGAGGTCTGGACCAGGTCTGCAGATTTGGAGACCCCAGGTCCACTAAAGACCCCTCAAACACCTCAACTCCTCCACACTTACCCCCTTACAGTCTTTAAACCTCCAACTGCACCCTGTACGGTCTCTTAACGGTCCTGTACCCCCCCACCTCCCTCACCTGGACCAGGACCTGAACTCGTGGTCTGATGAGAACCTGCAGGATCTGGACTCATGGACTCATGAGAACCTGCAGGACCTGGACTTGTGGTCTGATGAGAACCTGTAGAACCTGGACTCGAGAACCTCCAGGACTTGGACTCATGGACTCATGAGAACCTGCAGGACCTGGACTCATGGACTCATGAGAACCTGCAGGACCTGGACTTGTGGTCTGATGAGAACCTGTAGGACCTGGACTCGAGAACCTACAGGACTTAGACTCATGGACTCATGAGAACCTGCAGGACCTGAACTCGTGGTCTGATGAGAACCAGCAGGACCTGGACTCGTGGTCTGATGAGAACCTGCAGGACCTTGACTGATGGACTCATGAGAACCTGCAAGACTTGGACTTGTGGTCTGATGAGAACCTGCAGGACTTGGACTCATGGACTCATGAGAACCTGCAGGACCTGGACTCGTGGTCTCATGAGAACCTGCAGGACCTGAACTCGTGGTCTCATGAGAACCTGCAGGGTGGGGTGGAGCAGATCTTTATAACTCCTCTGATGGAAATCTGAAATCAATACGAGTCTGGGCTCTGCGGTCCGTATCGACCGGTTCTGGACCAGAACGTGACCGCAGCTTTAATGGGGTCCATCAGAACGTGTTAAAGACCTGGAGCAAGTTCTACAACGAGGACTTGTTCTGGGTCTGGTCCAGACTCTTCTCTGGGGTGTTGTGTGACAGCTCTCAGGAACATTTATTTTTTCCCAGCGTTCCTCCAACGCAGCGTGGGAAAGAAAGTGGAAGAACTGAAACCAGAGTTCTGATCCAAACCTAGACAGGAAGTGACCTCCATGTTTGTTTTTGAGCTTTTCCAGAATAAATGTCTCAGAGGGTGGAGGTGGTTCCAGTCTGGGCAGATCGTTTACTGAAACACTCAGACTGAAACTGGATACCTGGACATAACCCACTTAGAAACGCCGAGGAGACCCACGGAATGAAGACAGAGAGAAGACGGAGACAGAAAGAAGACGAAGACAGAAAGAAGACGAAGACAGAAAGAAGACGGAGACAGAAAGAAGATGGAGACAGAAAGAAGATGGAGACAGAAAGAAGACCGAGACAGAAAGAAGACCGAGACAGAATGATGATTTATTATTAACCTTCAAATCATGGCAAATCCTACTGAGGTCACAGATCTCTTGCAAGGAGGCCTGGACCTGAAGGCTGTGTAACATGCATGTTAATGCATGTTGATGCTGCATATTGATGCATGTTGATGCGTGTTGATGCATGTTGCGTGTTGATATGTGTTGATGCATGTTGATGCGTGTTGATGCGTGTTGATGCGTGTTGATACGTGTTGATACGTGTTGATGCATGTTTCGTGTTGATGCATGTTGATATGTGTTGCTATGTGTTGATGTGTGTTGATGCATGTTGATGCGTGTTGATGCATGTTGCGTGTTGATGCGTGTTGATGCATGTTGATGCACGTTGATGCATATTGCTTGTTGATACGTGTTGATGCATACGTGTTGATGCATGTTGATGTGTGT